TTCCCTAACACCATGCTTCACCGCTCCGGGCTACATGCCAGCTTCAAAATGGCAGACCATGTAATTGCTCAGCACCTTCCTGGTGTAGTGGCTGGTAAACTTTCCTGGCAAGCAGGAGATGGAGGTTTAATCTACTTGGAGATTACCAGAGACACCGACTTTATAGGTGAATGCAGTAATTATAAACTCCCCAAGAACACTTCTCCAGGAGTGAACTTCATGGGTGAACCTTCTCAGGAAGCTACAAGTAAGTAGATGCTTGTGGTAGCAAAATGTATTTTTTTCTAGTGTATTAACTATTTTCCATTAAACAAACAAACCCAGGATTATGTAATCTGTGTAGGCAATGTAAAAATTAAAATTCCTCTTCATTGTTTGCCATATTCTTTACTTATTTTACTTCTTTACTTATTTTACTTCTTGCTTCTTATGTTACTTCTAATGTTACTTCTTACTTCTTATTTTACTTCTTACTTTTCCTAGTTCTTTTCTCATTTTCTTAAGTAATGCTCTAACAAAAATGAGGGGCCCTGGTCACTGTGGTCATGGAGGCAAGGAAGAGGCCTCTTTTTTTCCTTAGTACTCCATCTCCTCCACAAGCCTCTCACTTGACTTTTCTCTGCAGATTGCATCCATTCCCTTTTTCATATTCTTGGCTCTCTCAGCAAGGAAAAGGGAAAAATTTCACAAGTGAGCAGGTAACTGGTCATAGCCTATATCTTTCGGTTGACAGTTCCTGGTCTCACAGAAGCCCAGTAATCTTGCACTAAATTTGGTCAAGGGATGAATGAGCCTAACCTTTCTCCAGTGGCATCTCAGTGCATTTACATTTTGTTTCTTCAGTCTGTCAAGAACTGAGCAACACGTAGTCATAAGTTCCAAAAGAGTCACCATGGCAAGTCCCGAAACTGCCAGTTTTGACAAATGACATATCATAGAAATGAGAGAAGAAAGCTGAATCTTGACTTAGGGTGTAACTCAAGTTATTTGCCGTTTTTATAGGCAAGAATTGCTATTATAATATGATGAATTTTAGCTATAAACACAGCTATAAATGTAGCCATATCTGCATAATGATATGCACAGATATCTCAGTTTATCCAGCAGAATGGCAGACAGTACACAGGATATGTAAACAGATCTGCCAAACACTTACAAAACAACTTTAATAGCAAGTGTCATTCTTTTCTGTAAAGTAGCTGTTTTTAACACACATGATCTAACTCTTGTTTGCTCTTTAAAGTTTTATTGTCTTGGCATTTTATACAGGAAGAGAGCATTAGCATACTCAGGAGAACTGCTAAAAGTAAAAGGCCTCAAGCTACCCACTGCATGGTTGATAGCATAAAGCATGGGATATAAAACTTTTGTCTGATTGCTCACTTTACTTGTTTTAGAGTAGTGTTACTCTCAAGAGCATATATTCATGTTCTTTCTACTTCAAGTTTTATTACTTCTTTTGTATTATTTAATACATCTAAAGACACTTCCAAAGACAAATTTTTCCATTTTGAAAAAGTAATGGTTTGGAACCTGATAAAATACATGAATGTTCACAGTGTATTATTTTCAAAGGCAAGTAGCATAAATGTGCAATAAAACAATTAAATGCATGACAATAAACATTTCTATGTGATCATAGATATATTAACATCCCAAACAAAAGAAGAAAAGCTCGGCAAATTATTTCCCCTAAAAAAGGTCAGATCAAAACGGATTCTCCACACACCACTGCATAAGTAAAAAGGGAATTTGGTCTCAATTACTGTTACTGCTAAATATCCCACTCCAGAAATTAAAATGAACATTAAAAATGTGAAAGAGAAAATCGAATGAAAAAAGGCAAATCAGATGAGCTATTTTAAACACAGAAAAAGAGAGACTGTAATTATACATACACATTAAAAATTATCCTACAGTAAACTTAAATCTAAGTCTACTTAGATATCACACTGCTAATTATTATATAAATAACCTGGGAAACAATACCTCCAAGATACATGTTTTACTATTTAGTAAACAAGAAACTGCCACGTTTGACACCACTGATTAAGGCCAGGCATTTCTAAAGCTTCAGACACATTTCGGAAATCCACAATACATCAATTTTTAATACTTCCACTCTCTCAGCTCCATTAAAAAGATGGTAGGGGAAAGATTTTAGAGTAATTAATGATATAGTTAGCTGCTAAATATTAATAGGAATCGTAGTCTTGCATAAAATATAACATATAAACCTTGCCAATACAGACGCACCAGTAATTAAACTTGAATATGTAATTACACTGATTTATACGACAGGCAAAAAGTTACACTTTACTGGCTTCTATGTAAACTGTGGGCAACAGTTAAACTTTGCATTTTACGGTTTAGATAAATGGGCAATATCTCCACTACAGTTCATAAATGGTTTAGAGACTTATAGTTAAAATTACAATTAATTCCAACACGAACATTCTGACTATACTTTACAAACCAGGCTGTGAAAATGACCAGAGAGATCAACCTCCCGTTACATTCAATGCTGGCAAGCAATGTGAAGAGGTTTAAAAAAAAAAAAATCCAAATCTTGCCAATCTTACTACACAGTAAATGAAGACCCATCTATTTAAATGTTTTAATATAAATGTTTAGTTTCAAACATACAGTTCCAGATGTTTCACTTACCATGTTTTAAAGCACTTTTGAGTAATATTGTGTCTTAGACTAAGGCATTTTTTTCTAGAAAGGTTGCTAACTGCACTTACATGTGAGGCTGAGGAGAGCAGCCCGGACTGCTATTTCCATTACTGTCAATGTGATCCAGCGAACCATTGAGATCTTCATGGACTGCCTGCAGTAAGCCACTGGATGCGTTATTTATCAGTCCTGGGTTACTAAGCAATGGTAAACTACTTTCTGCCAGTGCAGCCTAGCAAAAAAGAAGAGTAAAAATAAAATTATTAGTCCATATGTATACAAATCACTTCTAAATGTTCACACACACATGAATGTACACACACAAAGCAGCTCAATTTGGGTAGTTGTAGAGGTGGTTAGAAGGATTCTGTGCATTTTACAGTTATTTTCAGATTCTCAATATAACAGCATCTCTATTTCTGGTTTACTATTTCTCTTACATAGGTTTCATTATTTTCTGTTATTAAATATGTTCCAATATTCATAGCACTTTCTAGCTTTACATCATTTTTTGACTTTGAATTACACTTAACCCCTATGTCCTTCCACACAATGTATGGCTCCTTTATAATGCAGGCAGCTGCTATACTTTAAAAAATGACCAGAACTTAACTCAAAATAAAAAAGTCCTGACATTTGCCTCTTCTGCATAAAAATTATATATTATAATTAAACTTTAAAGTTTTTGCCATGAGCACCATGTTCCCCAACACTATGATGTGAAATCATTTATGACAGCTTGGATAAATATTAATGCATATCCACATGCATTTGCAAAAGCTTCTATCAATCTTAACATGTGCAGCAAAACTGAGTGTTCCAGATTTTGCCACAGGGTGTCCTTCTTGCTTCTTCACATCAAAAGTAGCAAGAATAAGAACTCTTACTTCTTGCAGTGCTAGGTAATACAACTTACTTGGATGATAAACCTAACTATTTAGAATGACCATCAGGTCCACATAAACATAAATATAGGTGACTCTATACCAAAGTACAGCAGGAAATTAAATACGTCACACATAAGAACATAATTAGTGTGTGCAAAGAAAGAGTAATTCAGTAGTTTTTACCTGCAAGCTTGCATTAAGAGCTGCTCCATAGCCTAAGCTGGTAGGTATGTTTTTCACTAACGTTGGGCTTCTGAAAATAAACGATTTTTCAAAGTTTAAAAAACAGGCAAACATCCTGGCTGGCTCATTGGGTTAATGGATTGGTTTACCAGCTCAGAAGACCAGAGTTTTACAAGGAAAAATGAAATGAAGTTGGGGGTGAAAGGGCTCAACCCATTAGGACACACTGATTCACTCCCTTCAGAAAAGCAAAAGTCTTGCTGTAATTAGGCCCACATGGAAATTTGCTATGAGAGCAGGGCCGTAGCGACTCGTAAAGGTTCTGATCTCACTGAAAGAATTTGACAGAGATAGCTTTAAACTTTGCACAACACCTGCCTCAGCTATGCTTGCCGTGCCATTTGGTTTTGGTTTTCTGAACTAACACTGGTCCACATTTGAATCCATTACATCCAGCTACGCTAAGGTGCTGAATAAAAAGATGCTGCTCTTCCCTTCAAAGAAACTATGAGGGCACAACAATGTATAAATAACTGTAAATGAACAATACAGTGGATCAATTAGCTTCCAGCAAATCAAACATACCATATTTAAATCAGACTAGAAATACTACATGCTGGATCATCATAAAATTATATTTTCAATAAAATTAGTGCCTGAGATGACTCCAGAGGTCAGCTGGGTGGCTGTTTACAAACAGATCCATTACAGAAATACAATATCGTCCTGCAAAGAAAAACCTCCAGCTTTCCTCTCTGCACCTTTGGTATTCTGAATGGTTTTATCAAAACTAATTATATACTCTAAAGGAATAAAAAGCATCCACAGAACCAGTCATACTGACATGGGATTAATTTGAAAGTAGGGCAGTAAGCATGCCAAAGGTCCGCCTGTGAAGGCTTCTCATGAATACTACCCTCATCAAGAAGATATTTTTGAGGTCAGTCCTGTAGTGTATGATACCTATATTCCAAAATGACCTTGAACG